TATTCGAAGTAGAAACTGGTTTAGAACCAGTTGTAGAATTAACAGCTGAAACTTCATTATTTGAAATGAATTAGGGTATTAACGAAATATTGTTACTTTTTCAAGATATTATATGTGAGTTAGATTTAAAGAAAGTTAATAATGAATTGATTTATAGAAGAGATTTTGATGCCAAAGTATTTAAATACACTATAATTAACAAAATTAATTACGGCTGCTTTGGTCCAACTTCCAATATTGTAATTTTAGAACCAGAAGCAATTCAAATTCAAACGAAGAAATTTTACATGTTGTCACAATGTATAAGGATGATTTTAAATTAGAAAATCATTTATTCTTGGATATTGTAGGAAATCAAGTAATTTATTCTCAAATGATTAAGTGTCAGGAATAATGATTGAATTTAAGACCTCTTCTTGGACAATGGCACATGTTAAAGGATTTTTGTTCAGTATTATTAGTTTTATTTTCTAGCTATGGGTTACTGAGTTTGATATCTTATCTTGGCATTCATTTTTTAGATAAGTTTGAAGTTGCAATTAATATTTATATTGTTAAAAAAAGAATATTATTCAATAAAATAATAGAAGAAAAAAATAATATACATATATGCCTTCAAGTAAATATTATTTTTTATTTTTTTTTCTTTAAAAAATAAAAAATATATACGATTTTACATTATGATAAATAAAATTTTTTTTAAAAAAAAATAAAATAATTTAAAAGAAATTTTAATTTTAATTTATTAGATCTAATATATATATTACAAATGGATTAAGATATGGAAAGTACATCGAACAGAAATGCATATTGATAAATTTGATTTACAGTAAAACTCTTTATCTACTGCAGGACCACTCTATACAAGTGCAACCAAGTCCAATTATACAACAGCAATAGTCCATTTCCTTTTTACTATAGCAACCTATCTTCGATTAAAAAAAAAATTATATTATTGTAATACTTTTAAAATTTCTAATAAAGATCGTCATATTTGCTTTGGCTTTGATGAAGCACTTGAAATATTTGGCGTAAGATTTGTTAAACAAAATGGAAGTGAAAATGTAATTGATGAGATAAACCTTAATAATCAAATTAAAGCTTCTCAAGATGAAAGAGAAAAAATAGACTTATTGTTGAGTGAATATCTTGATAATCGTTTGGTGTCATATTGTGAATAAGCTGTTAAATCACGTAAAGAGTCTTTGTGAAAACTTATAAATGACCTTATAACAGTTTTTGGAATGGTCGAACCTTTATCTCATAAATTATTCCAGAAATATACACCCACGTAGATACATCCAGAAGGATCTAAACATCTAATCGCTTGTTATTCAGATGGTTTAAAAAGAATTAAAGAAGTATATTGACAAGATGTTTTAGGAATTGAGTACAGAAATACAAAAGGTAAAAGAGTGGTAGGAGTTGTTAAAACAAAACTAAAAGATAATAACAATCAGAAAAAAACAAAATGCAAGAGAACTGCAACAAACTTTATTGAATCTGAACAAGCCAAAAATTCTAACAATATACAACCTATAAATGAACCACTTATGGACTTGTCTGATTCAGTTAAGCCACAATTAAAATGGAGAAAAGTAGTGAGAATTAAATACTGAACTTCTGAAGATGAAATGACAATACTTTCCACATTGAAAGTATACAAAGACAAACTTCCAGTTAATACCATTATTTCTGTTTGTGAACAATTGTCAGAAGTTTGGACAATAAAGAAGGTACAAGATTGGTGAAATTATCATAAAGATAAATAGTAAAAGTAAAATAATTTGTACAATGTAATTTTTACAAGTTAATAAAATAAAAATTGTTTATTTGTTACAAATCTCACTAAACTAGTAACTTTTTTTGAACTAAGTATTTCGATGCAAATAAAAAAACATGAATATTTGAGTATTTGAGACAATATTTTGTCTTCATATAAACTTGCATCTGGAAGTTAAAGTCAAAAAAAATAGGAAAAGTGTCTAATATAAAAATTTTTTATACAATTGTTGTATTTTAAAGAAAAGAATCTGAAAGTATAAAACGAAACCCAGAGAACAAAAGTTCATTAAGGTTTGTGGATATGTCACTTGGAAAAAAAGTGGTTTTATTAGTACCAAATTTCTTATCATTTATAGTTACACGAAATTTTCAATTAATGATCACCACCTGACCACTGATTGTTAACCAATCAAATTACTAAAGTAACTTGAAACAATTCAGGTTATAATAAAATATTTTACTTTAAGTTAGTACAAAAAATTAAAAATCTTAATCTATTCCATAATGAAGTAATATATAATCCAAGTTGATACCAGAATATTATATCCATTTAACAACCTTAATGACATCTTTTGAATATTTGATTTTTATTAAATATTTTGGGATTTAGAATTTTTTTTACATGTGAAAATCATATTTGTCATTTAATATTTATCACTTATATAAAATTTCATGTAAACATTTTTTTGATCACCTGTTATTAAAGATACCTGCCATAATTATTTTCTTGAGTTGTAATTAGTTGCAACTCCATATCTAGTTACAACTATTTGCCACAATGTTACAATTATAGTACAATTATATCATTGATGTAATTATAATATAAGATCAGAAATAATTATTGATAGTTGTTACATATAAAACTTTTTAATTTATAAGTAAATATTAAAAATAGTATTAAGTAATATTAAATACCCCAATAAATCACGTATTATATAAAAAGAAGAGACATGTTCCATCAAAATTGAGAATGATTAGTAGTTAAAATTCGAATGGATGAAACATTTTAATATGATAATAATTTGTTCAATTTTAATTATATAGGTATGTTCTTTTAATATAATATGTAATTAATGTTTGTCTTTGAGGTTACTTAGTACTGTTTTTAATATTTGCTTATAATATATAAAAAGTTTTATATGTAATAACATCAACAATTTTGTATATCCGTCTGTTACTTTGTTACGAAAATCACGTGATAAATGGAAGATTACATACAAAAATTTTATTTTTTTAAATTCAGCTACGATTTACATGACAGGATGCGATTTTATATTAAGATATTTTTATGACAGATAGAAAGCCCTTGTTCTTAGCTACAAGTTGATATGTGTTTCATTTCTGTAACATCGATATTCGCGGAGATATTCACGAACGTCCGTGAAAAATTTCGGCCATAAATTTTCTGTAATTCTGGCCAGAATTACAAAAATTACGGAAATAATAAATTAGTATAATTATAACATATAGTAATTATAAACAAAATCGTTGATGTTATTACATATAAAACTTTTAATGTTATAAGTAAATATTAAAAATGATAAAAAGTAATTTCAAAGACAAAATTAATTACATATTCTACTAAAAGGACAGACTTATATAATTAAATTGAGCAAATTATTATCATTTTAAAATTTTTTATCTGTTTGAGCTTTAACTACTAATCATTTTCTCAATTTTGATGGCACATATTCTTCTTTTTATATAATACATAATTTATTCTTGTCTTTAAGATTATTTAATACCATTTTTGATATTTACTTATAAATTAAAAAGTTTATATGTAACAACTATTGATAATTATTTCTGATCTTATATATAATTACATTATGATATATTTCTTGCAATAAACACAAGTATCTACTTTTTAAAAATTAGAAACCCCATTAAAATCCTATCATTCAATAGACTTCTTAACACTCACATTACGTGTTATAGGGATTTTCTCTTTCCACTAGACTATGCAAACCAGGGGTCAATTTTATAACTAATTACTTTTATATAAAATTGTCGATCGTTGCCACATATAAAACTTTTTATTTTATCAGTAAATATCAAAATCGGTACTAAGCAATTTTAAATATAAGAATTCATTGCATATTATATAAAAATAATAGGCTTATATTACCAAAATTGAGTGAATAATTGACATTTAAAAATGTTTCGTCCGTTCGAAATTTAACCGCTAATTATTCTCTCAATTTTGGTGATATAGATCTATTCTCTTTATATAATATGTAATTCATTCTGATCTTTAATATTACTTAGTATTATCTTTAACATTTACTTATTAAAATAAAATATTTTATATGTAGCAACGATCATGAATTATTTCCGATTCATATTTTGTTATAAAAAAAATAAATGATATATCGCGCGAAATGATTAACCAATTTACTTACTTTAATTATAAGTTTAGTTAAACTTTAGAGCTATTATAAAAAAACATTTGCTCTCGAATTTTGCAGATTCAGTATGACCTTTATTAGTATTGCTCAGGGTCCTAATATTACTTTTAATCTTCATGTCATGTAATTATTTTAATTATTTTAATAAGAATTCTAATTTTAGTTTTATTTACATTCCTGTAAAATCTAATGGTTAAATTTTTTATTTGCAATATAAATTATAACATGTATTATCATGGAATAAAGTAATGTAAAATTATTGGCTACATATTTATCATATTATCAATAAACTCATTATTACATTCTATTTATAAGCAAGTTTTCTAAAAATTAATTCATAAATTGGTATGTAGAATTAGGAATAAAATATAACTTGTGACTAGAAAAGAAAACTTGTTATATTTGCAAAAAAATATAAATTACATAGGGTGATATGTATTTAATAAATTATAAATAATAATATCTTTGTTCAGATATATATTAACAAATCAAAATCATCCTAGGTCACGCTTTCTTACATTATTGTGCATAAATTTATTAGATTTATATTGTATGATTCTCCAGTAGCAAAATAATATTGTGATTAAAAAGTATTATATAAATATATATATATAACAAACAATTCTTCAAATTCTTTATTAATTAATAACTTGATTTTATATGAATAAATAAATCGAAATAAATATTTGTTAAATACTAAAAAAGTATTTTTGTGACATTAATTTCATGAAACAAAGAATGAATTTAGATATTCATTCCCACTAATTCCATAAGAATGTATTACAATTTACCCCATTGATCTTCTAGTCATGCTGAAATTTTAACTGAAACCAATGCCTTAGTGTTTCCCCAATTATCTTTACTTAATTCCCTGACTTTTTTAGTAATTGTATCTAATTCAACTAATTGACTTCCAACTGTCACATATACACAATTTTCAATTACTGTAGCTGATTTAACACTCAGCCAAGATCTTTTGGCATCTGGACTATTCGCCAATTCTCCATCAAAAAATGGACTACATTTTCCATTACTAGGATTAACTTCCCATAATCCATAACAAAATGCTAATATTCTTTCATCATTAATACAAACTAATGCTCTACACGTGGACCAATTATCTGACCCACTACCAAGTTTTTTTGGTTCTTCTTTTGAAGTAGTATCAATACACCATAAATTATTAGCTGAAGTTGTAGCTAGAATATTTTTTCCCATAACAGTCGCGGCATTAACTCTAGTCCAAATATCTGCATAACCCCCAAGAAAATCAGTACAATGACCAGTATTTGGATCATCTACCAACCAAAGTTTATGACAGAATGCAAATAATTTATGACCACCTTCATCACTTGGCACAGCAACTAAAGCATTACACGTTCCCCAACCATCCCAACTAATTTTTCGAGTTTGGTTATCAGTTAAAGAAAGTTCCCAAAGATTATTAAATGATGTTGTCACATAAACCTTTTTAGTTGAAGGAACTAATGCTGCAGCGGATGTTGAAGACCAATCGTCAGAGTTATATTCTTTATAAGCTCCAGTTGATGGATTAATTAAGTACAAGCGACGACAAATAGCAAGAAGTTCCATTGCACATGTACAGTTATAAACAATTGGGTCATTCATAAGTACACGTTTATATGACCTATTATATTATTTTAACCAATCAGGTTGCAGTATTTTATAAATGATTTTCGTTCTAAATTTCATCTCTGTTGATAAAAATGATCATCATCTTCCTCTCCCAATTCCCTATTCATCTATTAACTTCAATTTGCTCGGGTTGACCGGCAAAAATTAGTATAAAGTTTTATCGAGATCTACAATGGAAAACTTCGAATTGCCGTTAATAAACTTTTTACAACACAGGCGAAAACGAGATTATTTTCACATGACAAAGTAAAAGAGCACAGAAGTTAAGTATATGCTCTTTTAACAATTTTAAGAATATGTTGAGATAACAACGTGAAATATTGACAATCTCCGAGTAACTGACTACGCCTTGGCCAGTGATAACGTATGGCTATATCTTCCCTTGGGCACTTTTACATGCTATTGCCAAATGAAATAGGACACCAATGTTTTTTTTTTGTTCTTATATGATGAAAAGTTCTCGAGTGTGTAAATGAATTCTGGAGAAAAACCCGTAAAAGCAAATCAAAAAAAAAACGAAGAGGTTTGTGAACTACGTAAATTAATTGACATTCATATAAACTGCTAAATTTCAATTCTTTTTATGAATTATGACTTAACCTTAACTACCAATGTGAATAAACAAATGAGAACATATGTAAACGTTACCACTACTCAAATTAAAAACTAATTTTTAGAGTGTGAGAAAACTCCCAAAATGCTTGGCAAAGGTTAATAATGTGGATTTGAAGAAAATGACTCAGATAAATCTTACCATCTCAGATCAGATGAACCAAATGATAACTTTTATATTTATTTGATATTGTATCTTTGTTATAATACTTTCCCATGATTATTGTAGTTCTTTAAATCATATATTTTTATTTGAAAAAATGTATCAACTGGAATTTCAGAAATTATTGAACCAAAATCATTAAAAATTTTAATACTATTAAAAATGAATTTATATCCTATCAATTGTCAGATATTGATATATTCTACAGTGCTATAAATGGAAAAGGTGTATTTTTTTTTAAAACAATCTTAATATGGTAATTATTTCATTGTATTAATAAAATATTTATTAATTAGATCACAAATGAAGATTTTGGAAAATATAAGCCATTATTAAGAAAATGATAAAAGGATATTAATGATGATCAAAGATTTAATTCTAGAAATGTTTGAATCAAATGTATTTGTAAGTTAGCACTTTAGCATTGATAATGTCAATAATCACACAAGTTGAAAGTGTCCACATTTCCTTTTATAGAAGAGTTTGTACAAAATGAAATGTGGATACAATTGATTAAGTCTAGTGTTCATGTCATTTACTGAGGAGTAGAAGAAATTGTTAATAATTTTATTCTTTAATTCATTGGGTCATGTAATTAAAAGTTAGATTAAGGTGAGACATCGAAAAGCGAATTGGTTATGGGAGGATTAGTTGTTATTAAGTTAATGATCGTTAGATATTTAACTATGTAAGGATAATCACCTGATGGTAAAATTACTAACGAAAGGTATGATTCCCTTTCTAAAATAACTGAATCATGTACCTTCGGGAACTCTAAAAGAACCGTAAACTGACTATCTGGAAATAGTCAGGTGACTGTAATTAATTATTTCCTTAAACGATACATATATATTAATATAAATGTTGAGTTAAATTCTATCACGCGTCTTTTGGTTGTCTTTTATTTTTTCTTTCGCACTTTTTGTGATTTTTATTTTTTCTTAAAGTGTAATTATTTTTTTTTATTGTCCAATATGCCTAAAAAACGTGAGACCATCGAAGTTATTATAGAAGATATCCATAATGACGATAAAAAAGATAGTGAATTTGATAAAAAAGATAATGAACTTGAGAATGAACTTGAGAATGAAGAACAAAGTGAAGAAATGCAAGAACAAATTTTTACACCAGTATCAGAACTTGAAGTAAAGAAAATGAATTGATTGATCATTTTATTTGATTGATATTATAATTAATTGATAATATTTAATTTTCTAAAGAATTGTGGAATCAATTCTTTGGATATCAAAAAACTTATAGATCATGGTTTCATTACAGTACAATCTATTGCATTTACTCCTAAAAAGGCCTTATATGAAATTAAAGGAATTTCTGAAGTGAAAGCTGAAAAAATTCAATCTGAAGGTAAGTTTTATTGTCTTATTTGTGTTTTAATCTTTTTAATCTTGATTAATTAATCTTGAATTAATTAATTAATGATTTCAGCAATTAAATTGGTTCCGGCGATGCAAAAATTTGAAACAGCTACAGAAATTAAATTGAGAAGAGATGATTATCTTTATATAACAACTGGATCATTCGAATTAAATAGATTGCTTGGAGGAAGTAAGTGATCATAATAATCATTTTTATGTAAACAACAAAAAAGAAATGAACATTTTTCTGTATAAAATAATAAGGAGGAATTGAATCCGGAGCAATTACGGAATTATTTGGAGAATTCAGAACCGGGAAAAGTCAACTTTGTCATACACTTGCAGTTAGTTGTCAAGTAAATAATTAACCAGCTTTCATTATTTTATGATTTGATAACATTATTGCATTATTATCTAAAAATTTAATTTGTATAATTATAATATACGATGAAAGCTTCCAATTGATGTAGGAGGTGCAGCGGGTGGCTGTATTTACATAGATACTGAAGGAACTTTTCGTCCCGAACGATTAGTTGACATTGCTAAAAGATTTGGATTGGAACCTAATGAAGTTTTAGATAATGTAGCTGTTGCTAGAGCTTATAATACAGATCATCAAATGAATTTATTATTACAAGCTGCAGTAATGATGACTGAATCAAGGTGTATATTTATTTATTCATTGATTTATTATAGCATTTATTTATTATTATTATTTATTATTTATTTATTTATTATTTTTATATTTGCTTTTTTTTTATTATTTTATTATAATTCATTTCTTTTTAAGAGTTACACTTCTTGTTGTTGATAGTGTTACAGCTTTGTATAGAACAGATTATTCTGGGCGAGGTGAACTAGCGGCACGTCAAATGCATTTGGCTAAATTCTTGCGTGGTCTATTACGGTTAGCTGATGAGGTAAAAACCGATGTTTAATTTTCTGTTATTTACAGTATTTTAATTAATATTTTTTCAACAAAAATTAAAGTTTGGTGTCGCAATTGTTATCACAAATCAAGTTGTGGCAAATGTTGATGGAAATATGTTTCCAGGTGGTGGTTCAGACAAAAAACCTATTGGTGGCAACATTATAGCACATTCATCAACAACAAGGTATATATTTAAGGAATTTTCCTCTATAATAAATTTATTGTTTTTTTTTTTTTAACCAATTTTTAACAATTTTTAACAATTTTATTTAACAGGTTATATTTCCGTAAAGGAAAAGGTGAAAATCGAATATGTAAAATTTACGATTCACCATGCCTTCCCGAAGGTGAAGCTACATTCTCTATTGGTATAGGTGGTATTGAAGATCCAAAAGATTAAGAATTTATGAAATTACATATACAAATGTATTTAATACTGTTATATTCATATCAATATATGCATAGATAGATAGATAGATAGATAGAAAGACAAATGTTTTTTAATGTAGCAATGTAACAATAACTCACACTTATATGTATAAGCAAGCATTTTGATAATCTTGTTATCTTTATTATCTGTGATAAACTTTATTATTTCAAGGTATTTATATAAATAATAAAGTTTTAAGATATAAAAAGTAATTCAAGGAGAAAAAGTATTAGATGACAAATGGATCAAATGAGGTATTTTTGCCTGATTGATAAATAAAAGGGAGATATTTTTGCCTGAATAGATTTGATAATTGACAAATGAAGCATTTTTGAAATCTCCAAATTCTTCCTTAAATTCTCAACACATTTTATTCTCTTGCGAACATTGTAAATGTACTAACTTCAAAATGTGAAGCAAATTGCGCTTGTGAATACGCTAAATTTGTATATAAAATTTGTTGCTATGTATCAATCGAATCTTAAGACTACATATAACAAATATATCTAACATTTCTCTGCGTATTTTCTGCATTTAGAAATTCAATTCAAAATCTCCTATTTCATATATTTCAAATCAATATAATTATATATCTTTAGTTCTTCAATAGCGTCATCTGATAATTTTTCAATTTATATTCTATATTTCAAAATCGAATTTCTGCTGCTACAAATAATGAAGTTTATTATTATTTAATTTTATTAAAAAAATGGCAACGGAACAAAATTTTCAATTTATAAAATGTGAGGAATATGAGACTTGACTGAAGCTATATTAAGACATGATGCTAAAGCTGTTATTACAAGTCGAAAGTATATTATCATACTCGGTAAAGCTGTAACTTATTTATTATTCATAATTATTTTTTATATTTATTAATTATTATTAGAACAATGGAATGGCTACCGATTGTTGTAAACCCTGAAGAAATTATGCATATGTATATTAAATTATATTTATTTTATTTAAAATATATCCATTTAACAAACGATATCAATTAGATATGCTACATTATTCTTAGCTATAACAAGCAGTATGATTTCAGTTGAAAGTCACAATGTTGCCTTATCTTGAAAGCGTTTTTGATCCAAATAAATTTTATTAAGAAATTAGATGCTAAATTGTAAAGAGAAATTTTTAATTTTATATACTTATTCATTTACAGAGTAAAATTGCCCTAAATCAGAATCTTATTCATGATAAAAATCATCCTATTCTTTTTTATTTGACCAGTGATTTTTAATGAGAGCAGTTACCATTCAGAAGAATGGATATTGAAGAACAAGATAATTATCATTATTTTTTTTTTTTTTATTATTTATTAATTATATTTATTATTTCATTAATTTTATTAAACAAGTAACATTATCCATGTTTTCATGTATTTGTTTAAGTTTTCTAGTTATTCCATTTTTCTTTTCCCAGTTCAGTATCTTTGTTAATTCTATCATGTCATGTCTCTATTATTTAATGCTTAAGTTCCATATGTGCTTTTTTGAATTATTTTGACTATTTGTTGACCTGATTGGACTCAGGTCTTTATTTGTTTAACCAGTCTCTTTGAAATATATTCTTTCATTGTATATATCTATAAAGATTAAACCTTCACGGTTTCTTTCTATATCTGGTATTCAGTATTCTAATTTTTAATAGAGATGTAGTTATTGTTAGATTTTCCTCATTTTTATTCAGATTGATTGTTTATTAGTAAATAAATAAATTTACTATAACAACGATTATGAATTACATCACTAAGACCTCAAGCCCTTTCAGCTAAAGTAACTTTATTCTTTGATGAATAAGTGAGATATAACAAATCAGTGTTAAAAAATATCAAATAATTTGTATATGGAATTTTAATTCATTATATCTAAAAATTTTAAAGAAATAAAGGTTGGAAAAGTGAATATATAAAGTTGTTATTCATATTATTACTTTTATGTTAATTATGTTAATTCAATTGTTATGTATGTTGTTAATGTTATTAATTCTTGTTATTACTTTTCTGAATCCTTTTGACGTGTTATTAGTTATGATCACATGAGGAATCTTATTTTTTTTGATCCTCTTACCGATGTGACAACCGAAATGGGGAAAACTAATTTACCATGAGTTATTTTAGCTAACCAATCAATTTTTATTATGAAGTAATTAATAATTGTTTGCGCGCCATTCTTGTGTAATAATAATATTTACATCGTTAAAGACTATTTTGATTTTTCTTTTTTTTACTTTGGAAAAATGAAACATCATTTATCTGTATTTTTGGGGTAAAATATTGGGGAAAAGGCATTATTTATGCTTAATCTTACATGATTTAAGGAATATTTTTAAGTTTTAGATTTTCAATTATAGTATAAAATTCATTCTTTATATCTAAAGAAGTGATCTTTAATTATTATCTAGTTCTTTCTCGCAAGATTTTGTTTAAATTATATCTAAAAATGTTTATATTGTTATGAAAAAAGAAAATAATAAGAGTTATTTTTAACAAAAATGAAAAGTCTAACTGATCAAAGATAAAGTACGAGATAATCTTCAAAAATATTCCAAGGAAAACGTAAAATTTTTAATGAAATAAATAATAATGCTACAGCAAAAATCTCTCATTATAAACATTTTGATTGGCGCTAAAATACCTCAATAAATTACAGTAAATAGTTTAAAGTTTTTTGGCAGGGGTGGGGGGGAGGGGTTTGCAGATTTGTTCTAAGGTAACGTTTACTAAAATTATTCCTTGAAACCAATATAAATACGCCCTTTCCTAGCTTTTCTTGAATCTCTTCAGTTCAAGAATTCTTAAAATATATTAAAAAATATACTTTTACACTTTCTTCGCTTCTTTTTCACTTTACACTTTTTCACCTTTTACATTTTACATTTAAATTAAAATGGACAACACCGAATGTCCTTGTGGTCTTAATTGTAATTGTGGTTCAAGCTGCAATTGTTCCAATTCCAAAGTCTTTGTTAATAAAGCTTCAGAAACTAATCCAAAGTAATTGATTCTTTAACATGTGATATAAAATTTTATTATAATAACTAAATTTCTTACATACTTTCTTTGACCATATTTTTTTGATATAATTATTATTATTATTATTTTTTTTTTTACTTAGTGAATGTGAATGTCCCTCCTGCCAAGGTGGTTGCGTTTGTGGTGAAGGATGTGAATGTAGTTAAAAAAATATTTCACTATCGATATTAAATCCTACTCGTAAGTTATACTGCTCGTTTATTTAAATTTATTTTATTTAGATTCACTGACCAAATTGAAATAACTTTATTTAGCTCGGTGGCCTTATATCGAAATTATATTGGAATTATATCGAAATTATATCGAAATTATATATCATTACGATAATGAAATTATTTTTGTATTATTATTATTAACGTTATGTGAACAAATATCATTATATAAATAAAGAATTATTCATTACTAATTAACCAAAATAATTTGTAATCTGCAATTAAAGATATTTTGCTAATTTCGTTGACCATATTGAATTTTTGACTTATCCAATTCATATCAATCTATAATGAATATTATTAAATAATATTTCATGTATTCAAAGTATTTTAGACAATAAAAATAAAAAATAAAAAAAAAAATAAAAAAATAAATAAATTGTTAACATTACCCATTCAACGTTAAACTTTCCTAATGTCTTAGCAATTTCAAAAAATGACGATTCACTTAATCCACGTTCTTTATATATACCAAGAATTCGTGTGTTCCTTTTCTCATTTTTCTTATCACCTTTATTTTGATCATTTCTATGACAATAATACTTCATAGTCTTTACTAAATCCTTATGTAATTCAGGTAGATATAATAGTTCTGATGCTAATATAATATCAAAAGTCCCAAAATTATTTACATGCATTATATTTTTGGTATCATCTGGTTCTGGTAGTTCTCGCCTTGGAGATATTCAAAATTTAAAAAAAAAATAACAATAAAGAATATTATTAATCAATAATTAAGAAATAATATATTTTAATATATATATATATATAAATATATATACCAATCTAAAACATGCACACCAACATCTACTTTCCGTAATTCTTTTATATTCTTATTTCCTACTTGTGATTTTTGATTTTGTTGTTCTAAAATTAACTTAACATTTTTTTCTACATTCATCTTAGTATGATTAATATTTGTTTTTGTACCAGTAAAATCTATTTTACCACCTATTTACAATGGTTACAATATTTATAAATGAAACTTTTAACCATTTTTAATTCTTTTATTTTAACTCTCAAGAGAAATTTTTTACCTTTAATCCACGCAGCTAATCCTACTAATCCACACCCTGAACCTAATTCCAAAAATTTAATTTGTTCATTATTTGAATCAATATTTAATATTTCATAAAAGTTTATATGATCAATAATATATTTGCTAAGTATATATGCCTAAATATCATATGAATATCATATGAATATTATTTAATGAAAATAATTAGCAAATGTTATATAAATATGTTATATAAATATATATTATCAATTATGAAAAATAAAAGTTTTATACCCCATCCCAAACTATATTTCCAGTATTCTTTGTTATATCAATTTTATTTATTAGGTTCTGAGATATTTGAACTATTAAAGGATTAAAAGAGAAAGAAATAATAAAAATATTAATAATAATAATATAATAATAATAATAATAATTAATAAAAAATAATTAATAATAATAATAAAATAATATATACGTGTATATCCATTAAACACAAATATCCTTTCAGTATCTTTCTTATAATTAGCATATGGATTATCAAATCTCCATAACACCATTGCTTTACTTTCATAATTACTTTTTGTATTTGAATTATTACAATCGCTTTGTTTTGTTTCAGACATTAAATATTATAATATAGATATAGATAGATAGATAGATATATGTATTTTAAATATTTTTAATATTTGTTAATGTGATTTAGATAAGAGATAAAGATATAAAGATATAAATATTATAAATATTATAAATATTATAAATATATTATAAATATTATAAATATTATAAATATTATAAATATTATGATCAAATGTAAACCAAAAATTCGGACCCGATTCTCATAAAATGCTTTTAGACGATATAGACAGACCCGAGTATGTCTTTTAATAATATTAAAAAGTTAAAAAGTATGTTATTGTTCAAAATTTCCTTATAATCATTCCACAAAAATTCAGAATTGCTATGTAGATAAAGATAAGATGTTGTACAAATGCTAAAATGGCTGTATTGTATGATATCATCACGACAATATTTAAAAATCACAGGTCACAAATAATTTTTGATTATTTTACCTCGTGTTATTGTTATTCGTGTTCGTGTTATACATATGTACTGCACTTGAACAAAAACTACTGAAAAAGTAGCGAAATACGCGACCATAATATTAAAAGTCAATTTAAATAAAAATGTTATTAATATATGAGGAGTCCTTTTAGTTGTCACCCAAGTTCTTAAAAAATTGAATAGTACAGAATGATGAATTGGTCCAGGTAAAATGTTGACTCTTTCTTCTTAAAATTCGATGACTCCAATTTATTAATCCTATACTCTGTAATTTGTTAGGAATTCTCGTAAAGAATTAAAGAAACTCATAAACAGGGTTCATTTACAACCTGGCATGCAATTAACAGATGATGACAATATTATAGGTATATCTTATTTAATTTTAATAAAGTTGTATTATTATTAAAAGAAATAATAATTGAATATTAACATTATTTTCCATTATTTTCCATTATTGTCATTTATATCAGGCTACTTTTTTACCCTTGATCAAGAATTACATAAGGTTAATACCTTTTTCTTGAAAAAACGTGCAAAATTGGAATTAATATTAGAAAAATATCGGTATCTTTATAATACCAATGGATTAGAAGATACTTTTAATGGAATAATAAACTCCGTTCTTGATCCGAAAGAATTGCGATCAGCATTGATGGTGACCAAAAATAATATTCATCAACTCCTCCATTATGTTGATATTAATAAGAAAGGATTCCACAAAATTTTAAAATCTTTAAAGAAGTAAATTATATAATCTAATTTAATAATTTAATAATTTAATAATTTAATAATAATAATAATAATAATAATAATAATAAATATAATTTCTAAAAAAAAATTTTTGTTTTTTTTTAGATTTGACAAAACCTTGAGTAAAGAGCCGTATTTGAGTACAAAGGTTTGTGTCCGATGATAATAAAAGATTTAAGCGAAAGTACAGCAAAATTATCCAATAATGTTATAATTATATGAAATTATCCAAAAAAGATGTCTATTCAAATTTATATTAAAAATATATTATATTTATATACAGAGAAGATCGTAGGAGGGTACTTAATATTTTGTGAATCTTAAAGGAAAAGAGTAATTAAACCTTTACCACAAGAAAAATTAATTATATTTTTATTTTTGTATTAGGAACAATTTGATACCAATGGTAAAATTTTAACTGAAATGTTGGATTCAATTGATCAATGGATTCGTGATATAGACGTTAGAATTAAAGCCGACTCGAAATTTCAATTTCTTTGTATCGAGTTGACCAAGGACCAGAATGATATTTTAATTCATTCGGTAGAAAATGATGATGTTGATACTCTACAAGGCCAAATAAATGACTTGATAAATAAAACTTCAAAAAATGTTCAAAATCACATTAAAAAGGTAAATTTTAATAATTTACGTACCTTTTTTTTTCAAAAATGAATTTTCACGTTTCAAATTTTTATAAATAATAATATAATTTAATATTTTATTATATTTTATTATATTTTATTATATTTTATTATATTTTATTATATTTTATTATATTTTATTATATTTTATTATATTTT